TTGGGATTGGGCTGAACAGGCATTGGGCATCTGCAAGAGCTGCAGACGACTTGCTGCCATACGCTCGCATTCGAGCCACGACACAGATTCCAGACTAAACGTGGTTAAGCCCGCCTTGGTTTGTGTGTGAGCGAGCCAGCGATCCAGCCCTCGCCCAACTCCATCTTCTCCTCCTGCTGCAACCTCGGCCGCAATCCACCAAAGAGAGCCTCTCCTCTCTGCCTCCCCTTCTCCCAAACACACACACAAACACAACCGACGTGGTTCTGTCCGTCACTGAATCCAGCAGGTCCCCAGACCAGACAGTGAGTGAGTTCTTTCCTCCGTCCACGCCGTCCAGTCCAGCTCAGCTCACACGCAGATACCCAGACGCTTCACGACGCACCGTCTATCTGCTTGCTGCAGCTTTCGCATTCGTGGACACTGCTTGCTGCTTCTCGTGCTTGCTGCTTGCAGTCAGTCTATTCCCATCGCCGCCCACTGCTCCCGCTCCGAGTGTGAGCAGTCCTCTTCTTCTTACGTGCTTCGATCGGCCAGGTCAGTTGCTGTTCGCCCAGTCTCTCGTCCATTCACGCCCTCTTTGTCCCCCAGTCCCCCTCTCCCAACCTGAACCTCATCGCTGCCCGTCAGGTGCTGCGTGTTTCCTTATCTTCTGGTCTGGAATATCTCCCACCCATCTGATCTTCTCTCCCATCTCCTCCATATCCACATCATCTCTTGTTACATCTGGGCTGGACCCTGGAGCATGAACTGTACTTTTGTGTATTATCATCACCTTGACTTGAGAGCCTCAGCGGACACTATTCCCCATGAACAACCAAACACCACACCGAGACATTGCAACAGGACAGCAACTAAACATGTATCCCAGAGATTATAGTTACAGCAACCAATCCACCACCAACACCAAAGCCTCCCGCAAAGGGGTAATCAGGATGGATCCGGATTGTGCCATTTGCCATGCCCCGGCTTCTCACGCCTGCGAGTGTGAGGCCAAGGGTCTGGAGGTGGCGGTTCGGCAAGCCGAGGCCCGTATGATGCAGTCTATCTACAATGACATCAGGTCAGTAACTCCCATCTTATCTCTTACCAAGCTGCGAACGGCAGGCATACTAACAGTATCGACAGATCATGGGTTCGCGCACACGCACAGGACTATATCCTCGAGTACTTCCGGCTATTGACCGAGCGACGCAAAGCCACGCACGCCCAACACTTGGAACGCATCACCGCCCATGCTTATCACTACTATCACGCACCACCGCATCCTAACGAGATTGCGGCCGCGCAGCAGGCTCTGAAGAGGGGTATCGACGAGGACTGGCAAGCATCGGTTCAACGCTATCCCGAGGTGCTCGAGTACTTCTACAGCTTGGTTGAGCTGACCCTCCCTGATGACAACGAGCCTGCCGTCAAGGACCCGCCTCTCAGCGCCCTTCAGGGCTCCCGCAAGGTAACTCGACGAAACACTGGTCCAGGCACGGCAGTGAGCGGACCCAGTCTCGCAGCCCCTCCTCCCCATCCCCATGAGCGAGAGCCTCTGCCACTTCCCCGAGGCCGCACTCCACCACCACTCGAGCCATTGCGCGAGAGAAGAACCCCTGCGCCACCAGGAGGAGGCAGGAGGCAGTCCTATAGAGGCCCTCCACCTGGACCCCCGCCCCCACCTGCTTCAACTTACTATCCACCGGGTTATATGTAAATCATGATCATCAGGATTAGATCATGATGATACACTCGCGGGGAGTCCCCATCACGGCGGTAGCCACCTAGGCTCGCTCTTTTTTGGATATCATCTCCTTTGTTCCGCACTCGAGACGTTCGTCACCACCAGCTCCACTTCATCCATCTTAACTTATGACGCCAACGAGACCACGAGAGCATCATGTTCGGATTTCTTTTCCCATGGTTATGATTTTTCCACGGTTTACGATTTCTGCATAGCCTCGGTTGCGTTTTTTTGCGATGGCATCTTTGATTTCTTACGTTTGACGGTTTCCAGCGTTTCCTCACAGGATTCATGACAAACACGTGTCTCTTCAGGGTTGAGCAGGATTTTGGACAAGCAACAAACGGGGGAGGAGCTTTACATCGACTTTATTATGTTTCTTTATCTGATTTTGTGGCGAACCGGTTCAAACAGTACGGATTATGGTCGGAATATTTCATACTTGGTTGAACCTTTTTCATCTTTCGCTCAACTCGCCTCTCAACTATGGCGTTTTTGTTCGGAGGCTATTTTTATGTACCGCTTGCTGGCTTAATATCGCTTGGACCTACAACACCCCGCCTTTGACTGAGTCGTTGAGTGGGCGGAAAGGATCACTTGGATTTGCCGCTGCGGCATGAGAGAGAGGATAACGGCGGATGTTGGAATGACGGATGGGGGATTTTCTGGATTATTGATACCGACACAAGATTGTTTGTTTTTGAAAAAGAAAATGGAAAGAAAAGGAAGACAGTGGAGGAGATATCACGGGCAATTGTTAGGATGAACGGAATGGGTTGGATTTCTCTAGTACATTTTTTTGAGTTATTATCCTTAAGGGTAGGGGAATCGGATATTGGTCCCAAGGACCTGGTTAACACCGGTCCTCGTTCCTCTAGGATGGTGCAAGCACTTGGTATCCGGCAAGAAAGTCGTCTACTGGACTGTCCATGACCGAAGAGACCAAGTCTTTGACATTGTCGTCTTTGACCCTGCTCTGGAGGAGAGGTCTGTGTACATACGGACAAGAAAAACATTAGGAAATTGAGATTATTGGATCTCCGCACTTGTTATTTTTGCTATCTAGCTACTATGATTATTGTTGAAATCTCGCCTTGAGTGACGAGCGTACTTGTGCTACTGTCACCGTCGGCACTGTCACCTAGGTACCTGGCCGATATCGGATTCAAAATACATCACATTTTCCAAAGAACATTGACCACAGATGAAGATCCACAAACGGTAACGGCACCCGAGCAACCTGTTTGACAAGATCTACAGCTAACACAATTGCCATAACTTGTCAAACGAACAAGACCCAACCGGATACACAGAAAAGGCTTGGTCGACTAGGGCCCAGAGAGCTGGGAGAAGGTGGCGTCGTGTTCCATCAATTCGCAACGGGTTTCTGCCAACGGAGATCAGACTATCTGGTTCGAAAAGACCTGTTCAAAGATGCCCAACATAGAAACACACCCCGAAGAGCCAAACGGATTTGAAGCCCAAGAATAGAAACGTCCGCGGCTCTCGCTCTATTGCAACGGCGCCCAACCCTCCAAACTCGGCCTCATTCGTCGTCTCAATTTTTCGGTCAACCTCTGGGCCCGGAACCCATCCACGTCCACGCTAACAACGGATTGAACAAACACACGCCATGGTATATGCACGTCATCTTCTCTGTCTCAGGTGATGGGAAGCAACGTGGAGTCAGATACATCTGCTGGACCTATGGTTGGACGAACTGCTTGTGCTTTGTAAACAAAACAGAGATCTTTTTCCTTCGAGCACCATCCACGTACTTCTTTTGTGTGCAAGTCGAATCCCCATGCCCTTCATGTCCAAGAATACCATCCCAATTTGGGATGAAACCGTCTACAATGATAAAGATTTCATGGAAATATCCCCATCCACGCACTTCCATCCCACGGCAGAGGCGTTGTTGGGGTTGCCACCATTGCCTCATGTATGGTAACACCAAGAACAACACAATGCCAAGTTGAGCATGATGGCCATGTCAGGTTAACGACGATACTGCTTGAACAGAAGTAAGAAACTACCCCCAGGGGTCGGCGCCCAAGGGACGGGTTGGATTCTCGGAGCTCTGGGCATGTGATTCTTGGGGTTTTGTCTCGGGTGACTTTGCAGACTCGGATGACAGGAGGAGGATCGAAGCGGGTGGATAACAGCCGAAATCCTCATACACATCATGGATCTTAAGATGTAGGAAGATGGGCACACTCCCAAAATGACAGTGGTTTAGGATACCTATGTATTTCAAGATGCCTTTTGGATTACAAGACTCGATTCCGCTATCAGGCTTTCATCTGAGGTTCAGAAACGGCACATTGAGTCGGATAATTATTGGGATATTTCCATCTCCTTCTCATTCTAGCACCTTCCTTTCTTCTTTATAACACTTCAAGCATGATCATGCCACACTTCCCACTTCACCCCCTCCTTCCTCCCTAGAACAGCTCCTGCCCACATATACCGCCTTCCCAAAGGTTTTCTCAGAAATCTAACAGCTCTCGTGTAGTGTAGTGTGAAGCATTTTAATATACTCTCTATTGTTTCGTCGATCTAGATTGATGATCTTTGACATTGGAGACCTAGATTTGAATCCTTGATTCAGTTTACTTTTTGGCCCTCAATAGGCCACAATCTCGAGATCTGTTAATGTTGCTTTTTGGCTTCTTTTCTCCGTGGAACCAGATGCTTGCCAGTGTCCTGCTACGGTTGATTAGAGAATGGTAGTTTTTATAAGATGAATTTTGAGAAGAAGTGTTTAACTTCTTCGAGCATGTTGTAGCACAGTTGGGCTGTTTGGTCCTCTTGTCTCTCTCTCCATCTCTCGAAGATACATTTGACACTTGTCCCCCGCTCTCTTGTCCTGTTGCAGCTGAGCAGACCTTATGATTTCTGCCCTCCCAATCTGTCTCCGATATCAGCTTCATCGAGCACTAGTATGGCTGGTTATAACTCAACGACAAGTGAAGGCTATTTCCAATGACATGATCTACTCCTAGCCATGAGTCTGCCTGCTCTCATCCGTTCCACTATATATACCTCCTGCTTTCTTGACATTGCTGTTTAATGCTTGCCATATGTGTCCATACCTGATTCATAAACTCTTCCACGCCACCACCCAAGCCCACCCCCCTTGACCTCGTTCCTTCCCCCTTCACAACTGACCACCTGTCCCACTATTTCCCGCCTTCCTTATTCTGGCCAAGGAAAGGGGGGTACATCTGCCTCCGGCCCAAGATCAGTTTTCAACGAAGAACAAAAGCCAGCCCGTGTGGTGTAGTGGTTTGCATTCCACGAGGTAGAGACCGATAGCTTGAATTAGCTAATGTTGTACTACCACCCTCACTACACTCGTGGGGCCCAGGTTCGATTCCTGGCACGGGCAAAACATGAACACCCCCTGATCTTTTGCTTGTCATCCTCGTCCTTTTTTTTGTTTTCTGTCGCAATGTTTAGCCCTGCCATCTAGTGTTGTTCAGACACTTTAAACCATTTTTTATCTACCTAGACTTGACGTGATGCTCAGCGCGCCACCGCTTCCGAGTCCTCTGTCCTGCCTCGTCGTATCTTCCTTCCCCTCTGCAACTCCCCAGTCCACCGCCTCCTCTCCACTTCTCTCTCTCGTAACTTCCATTCCGGGGCCCCTTTACCTCCGCAACTTCCAGAATATGTCCCCTACACCAACTATATCTCCCTCCGGTCCAAGAGAACCTTTCAACAAAACCAGACAGAGAAAAGCCCGTGTGGTGTAGTGGTTGCATACCACGAGGTAGTTCTCGAATGTACACTACTAAACTACACTTGTGGGGCCCAGGTTCGATTCCTGGCACGGGCACACACACAGGCAATATCTTTTTGCATTTTTGCCCTCTTTTACTTTGTTTTTTGTGCTGGATCTGGGTGTAGGGATGTGTTGTTGTATCGAGTATGAACTTGGTGATGCTCATGGTAGTATTGTCAACTAGAATGCAATCTAACTGTTACCGTCAGGTATATATGTGATGAACGGTCTTGATCTCCAGTGATGCTGTCTTCCATACCTGCCTCAACTAGTCACCACATCGGCCGCTTTCCTCGGCCCCGGTTCTTTCCTCCGTCTCTTTCCCCTCTGCCGGTCAGTGTTCCTTTCCCCCTTTCTCAAGCTTCACATCACTTCCCTCCCCCCTCACCCTCTTTACATGAACCTTCCCCCCTAACAAGAAAGACAACACAAGGCAATAAGGAGCCCGTGTGGTGTAGCGGTTCAGCATTCCACGTTGTAGGCACAGGGGAAGTCGGGAGGAAATGTGGTTCCAACCTACCTCGTGGGGCCCGGGTTCGAGTCCTGGCGCGGGCAAAAGCAAAGCAAAGCTCTCTCGTGAGAGAAGAAGCTCCTATTTTTGGCTGTGTTTTTTTGTCTTGAGGGAGGGTGTCGGGAGTTGGAGGGTGAGATGGTGTGGTGGGAATCAGATGATTTCTGTATGCCGGGTAAGATGTGTTGCGTTGCTTGTTGATATCATGCTCTGCGCCATGTTTCCGCTCTTTATGACACTAGGTACCTAGGTATCTGTAGGTGGGTAGGTGCTTGGATATTAGAATCTACTTATTATTCTGTCTAGCTGGACGTCGGTGTTTTATGTCTATCTGATATCTCTTGTTTTGGGGGGAGGCATTGTCAATGTATATGTTATGCTTTACTATTTGAGATGTTGCAAGATGGAGTTTTCCCAGTATACCCTCTCGTTCTCCCGTAAAGCTCCTTCCCAGCTTTGGTCCCCTTTCCCAGCCGCCTGCTCTTTCCTATCCCACGGCTCCTTCCGCACGTTCATATACCTCCTTCCTTCAGGCATATTCAACAACAAATCATGAAAGTCCATGTGGTGTAAAAGGCAACACGCCCAGAGACGCATCCTCTCAACGGAGGTTGTAACCTTGAAAGGAGTTTCAGGTTCGAATCCTGACATGGGCAAATTCATCTTTTTGGCTATTATTGATTTGCTATGGGGCATTTTCTCTTTTTACATAGATTATAGTTTCTATTTTGTTTTCCACATGAACTGTAGTCTCTTTTTAGCTTCGTGCATGTGTGATATCAACCTGGTGGCCTGCCGTGGGGAACTCAGCGAGCACATTCTAGTGTGGTTGATGACGATATCAGTTACTAGGTATTCTCCCCCCTTTACCCCTTTTCATGTGTAGCTCGCACCGCCTCTCGTTCCCATATTAATCACGACACCGTGATAGTCCAAGATTTAAGTTGGCTATGGAAGCATGCTGCATTTAAACGGATACAGCCACTCGTTTTAGAACCTTCACCACAACAAGACCACAGTGCATCCAAAAAGCAGAATAGATAGAAGAATCTCAGTATTTTGCCATTGCCTCGCCATCCCTCAAAACGCCTGCCTACGTGGTATGTAGGACCCAAAAGTCTGACTGAAACTCATACACCTGCTGTAGTTGAAATGGCCCTCCCCTATCAATACACCTCCTCGCCCTTCTCCCCATCATCACCAACCCCGTTTCTTTTCCTGTGCTCAGGAAATAAAACACAAGCACCCCAACGCAAAATAAAACACCGCCAACGGATACACCGCCAACCCAACCCGATTCTTCACCACCCCGCTCCCTCCCAAAATGCTCACACCCGCCGCCAGACTCCACCCCACCAAGACCAGATACACCGGGATCCTCGCGAACCAAACCAGACTAAGCGCCGATAACATCGCCGCGATGACCAAGGGGAAGAGTGTATACCCAATGATACACACACTCTGCGCAAACGATCTGTTTTCCCCTTTCTGTCAGCTTTTCTCTCTTCTCCCCATTACCCCACACACATCCCAAAAAATAGGTGTGACTTACATATTCCCCCCCAACAACCGAATCTGCACAGTCACCACCCCCATCCCGATCCACACCATGGCAAAAACCCCCGAAAACACCACCTCCTTCTGCGCCTCCCTGCTCTTAAAACTCAGCAGCGTCGACAACAGCAAACAAAACACCAGCGGGCCCCACAAATCCCAATCCCTTAGCCCAGATGACATGTGGTTGTTGCTCAGCAAGCTATCCGCATCCATCGCTCTGCTCGCCAGCCCAACAATTTCCTCTCTTGCTTGCGCGAGGCGGAGGTTGCGGATGTCAGAGACGGAGGTCATGGTGCCGCCGAAGAGGTATTTAGGGTAGAGGACTTCTTTGAGTTTGGACCAGATGGCTGACAGGTCGCGGAGGAGGGTGGTGGAGACGGGCTCGTCGATTGTGTTGAGGGGTGCGGGACGGTCTTCTCCCGAGAGGCCCCAGCGGGAGGATATGGCGGTGGCGGTCTGGGCTGTGGAGGAGATGTTGCCTGAGGGGAGGGGGCGGGAGGAGGAGGAGGATGGTTGGTGGCCTAGGGGGTCGTCGAAGGAGTTGAGGTCGGCTGTTAGGGGAGTGGTTAGTGTGACGAAGTGGAATGGGAAGAGGAAGGGGGAGGGGGAAAAGTTGGTGGGGAGACAAACCATCATCGGGATCAATCAAGTCGTTGATGTCCTCGTCGTTGTTTTCGAGGTCGACTTGCGGGGTGGATTGGTAGTGGGATCGGTTCGGGGCTGACATTGTGTCTTTCTTCGCGCTATTACCCCCAACTATGTGTTTCTCGTTACTTGTGAATGACTGCTGTATATATCGGAAGCATCAGAGCTTCTATGCGCAGGCTGTGTGCGTGGTGTCGTCAACTCGTCTCCTCGTTGATTTGAATGTTGGAGCTTCCCGCAACAGAACGCCGCGCAATTGTTGCCAAACTGACTGACGTTGCCAGAGACCAGGCCAGATTGTTGGTTCAGTTACTGCGCCAAGAGAAACAGGTACCTACCCCCGGTTCACTGTTAGTGCCATGTGGGGCCTTTTTTTGCAAGGGGGAGCTTCTGACGGTCTGACACCACTCTTCAACTTTCTTGACCCACCTGCCTTTTCTGACCATCCTATCCTTATGGTCTTTGATATTGTGCGAGTGTTGACGAAAGTCACAGGAAACGGCAACTTACATTCCCAGCCGGATCATGTGGTTATTGTTTTCTTCATTCATGTACCATTTAACTCTCGTTCTAGGTATCTACCTGTGTCTGCCCACTCTATGACAAATCTAGAAAACTTGATAATAAATGAGGGAAGCTTGTTTATCCAGCATCGATTCTGCACCTCCCCATATCACCTCCCCATTACCGATCATGCCATTCGTCTCCTGCTCCTCAAAAAAAACGGGACACTGTGATTGTTCTCTCCCGAGACCCGGGAAAGGATCAGGGATTTCATATGTCAAAATTCTTTCCTGATTGTTGAGTTGAGCTGTTGTGCTTCAACCAGCACCCTATGTTTGTCACACACGATCGGAGTGATCGTGATTCTCCCTTTCTCACACTCTCTCAGAACCCCCCTCCCTCCCCCCTCTTTGGTGTGACAATGTCCCCTTCGATTCCCCCCCGCCCTTTTTGTTCATGGAGCACAGCGTAGATGGAATGAATTATAGGTCTCGGGGAAAATAAACACATTCAGACTGCAACCGTATCAAACCCTCCGAGCCCCCCCTCATGAGTCATCTTGCTCTGTTCATGCAGCTACCCAGACAACTCGTGGCCGACCTTTGTCGTTGTGATAGGTATAAACTTTTTGATTACCATAAACAATAAATTAATAATAACAAAATGCCTCCCCCTCCTCTCCTTCACTGTTTGTCCTCCCAAAAAAATCCAAAAGGGTATCATCATCATGTTCCCAAACCTATTTAACCTAGAGCAAAAAAAGGAAACAAAAATTATTAGGGTAGTTTTTTTCTGTATCAGTCCCCAATGCCTTATGCAGTTATTTTGATATGTGGCTGGTGGAAAAAGACAGCTGAACTAAACAATGCGATTAATATGTGAATGAAAAAATGTCTCCCTCGTCCTCGACCTAGTTTTTGGCCCTTGTAAAATGCTGCAGCAAATGTAATACATGACTGGTGAAAATCCATCATGGAAAATAACCAGAGCCCCTAAACACCTGTACCATGAAGAGAAATTACTGCCAGAAATATCGTGTTGATGCCGATGGCTCTCCAGTATTCGGTGGGAGAGGCCCGTGGTTTGTGATTGATGGGTGAGAGGACGATGGCTCGCCCCATTGTGGAGTTTGTAATTGGCAGCGGGCCGGTCCCCCTTGTCCCGCTTGCGGTTGTAGTTGTGGAGAATAATAACTTCGGTGTTGTTGATGATGATGTTGCTGCTGCTGCTGCTGCTGCTGCTGCTGTTGGGGAGTATGATGTTGTAATGTGTTATAAGAAGCCATCGACCGTAATTGCTGTTGCTGTTGGCTGGCCTCATACCCAGCTCCGTACCGGTAAGGCGATGACACCGCTGCCGGTGGCGACCACGAGCTCCGATTGTATTGTTGATGATTGCCGTACATCCCGTCGTCTAATGATGCGTGTCGAGTTCGAACGTAACCGTGAGGGGCACCGACTGATGGGTGGTGATGGACCTCATATGCCTTGTCCTGCTCCCGGTTGTTGCCATTTGGATCCCACGCTGAAAGCCCATCTGGTGGCTGGGCACCTCTCCTGGGCATGCCACGGCCATAGTTTGCCATGTTGCCGTTGATACCGGATAAAGCCCAGGCGAACACGGCCACATCCCGGATTGATCGCATTAGGTCTGTTGGTAATCAGTTTCTGGTTCTCCTCGGTAATATCCAGTGGTTTCTACACATCAAGATTGTTGAGAAACAGACCCCTTGCGGGACGTCCCACATCGGACAGAGAAAGGTTTCACTTACGGTCCATCGGAGGTCCGCCTGCCGCCTTGACGCTTTCGCGGAGCGGCATGTACTGGGGAAGAAACGGGGGGCGGAATGTGTACAGCAGATCGGGGGGAATGTAAGGCTCGACCGGTTGTTGAGCCCATGGTGCTGCGAAGAGGCCATTCTGGTAGCTGAAGGCTGAAGGAACGACAGGCTGCAAGTCAGGAATCGGCGGCCGTGCTCTGCGCAGGACAACAACCAGTCCGTCAGATGTGCACGAAACCACAGCCTCCAACTCGAACGTCCGGGGTGACTGCTGTAAAGGCTGCGTATTCGAGCTTGCCGAGGTTGCCGAACTCGTTGAGCTCTCTCTGCTGTCGAGATGTATCCTGTCATCCTCCTCGTCCTTGATCACAATTACGGAATCATCATCGTCGTCAATGTCCATGTCATTCTTGTCCGAATTCCCTCTGCTGCTGGCGTCGTCTAGATCCTCGTCCTCATCCTGCCCATCCTCGCTCCCATCGCCCTCGTGTTCCAAGTCGGCCCGCGGGTCTTTGTACCAAAAGCGAAGATAAGCAATCGACTCGTTCTCTTTGGCCC